CACTATAGGGCGCATGCGCTCGCCAGACAGACAGAGAGAGACATAGAGACAGAAAGCGAGAAATCACCCCCCAGGGGGGATGGCCACGCCGCAATCCCTTCTCCTCCACTCTCCTCTCGGGATCTTGGGCACACACGCACACGCGCCCGGCGTGAGTTTTAAGCCACCGGGTCCAGGATGCGAACCGCGGTGTACTACGTGGGAGTCCAGCAACATAGCCATTACGTTAACTGCTGGTTCCCATCATCTAATATCTTTTCATTGTTTTTCCTGATCATTATTATTATTATTCCAATTATTTTTTTAACCAGTCAATCACTATTTCTCATTTTGCTTGTAAAAAGACTTTACCCAATATGAAATACTTCTCAGACCAATCCAGTTGAGAATACTAGACACGTCATCATCAACAGGTAATAAACCATATCTGTGTCCTACTAATGTCATGCAAAGTAAGTATAGGTTTTAAACTTTTTCTCTGATAAAATATTTTGTTGTTGCTTAAGATTCAGTGCTCTCTTAAAAACTTTATGAAATAGTTGACTAAGATGTACTATTAGGTCTTTGATAAAGTCAGGATGTATTTTCCTGTGCAAAAATGCATCATGACTTTCCAGACAACCCAATAATTATAAACATATACTTACATGCTTTAATAAAAATGTATATAAACTTGATACTAACTCCATCTTTAAGTATGTTTCTTTTTTAAAGATTTTATTTATCATTATTTTTATTATCATTATTTTTAATTTGCTATAGAACACATGTACTCACCAGAGAGAGACAAAGAGAGAGAGATAGAAAGAGAGAGAGAGAGAGTGAGAAACTAAGCTACCAAGTCCGGGACTCGAACTGTGATGGGCCATGTGGGAGTACCACCACATCACCTGCTGGCTCCTAAGTGTATTTCTATATCCTTTCTCTTTAGAGTAGAAATCTCTTGGAAACAGATATCTAATAAGAAAAAAATTTAAATAAAAAATAGGCAAAAGGCTGACTGCATATATTTCAATGCCCCGGATTCCTTAAATCTTCAGGGGAATATATTGGGGCATCAGAAAAGTCATAACACATTTTTGCATAGAAAAGTATAAAAAAAGTCATGACTTTTCTGATAATCCAGTAATTTTGATTGATTTTCTATTTATTATTGATCAGGCTTCAGATTTTGTGAAACTACATATTTTTTTTTCTTTTCTGTTTTTGGAGAGGTTTTTGCTATAGGGTGCGTGTGCTCGCCAGAAAGACAGAGAGAGACAGAGAGACAGAAAGCGAGAAATCACCCCCCAGGGGGGATGGCCACACTGCAATCCCTTCTCCATTCTCCTCTCAGGATCTTGGGCATGTACACATATGTGCCTGGCGTGAGTTTAAGCCGCTGGGTCTGGGACTCAAACCACAGTCGACTACATGGGAGTCCAGCGACATAGCTATTACACTAACTGCTGGTCCCTGAAACTACATATTAACGGATAAGTTTTCATCTAGAAGAGTTGCAAACGATTTCTGTCCATCAGAAAGATAATCGTTAGGATTACAGTTTCATTATTGCCCTATACTGGACATAGGATATTAATTTGCACCTTAATTTATTAATGTTATTTCAGAATATTATCCCCAATTAACTAAAAAAAACTTTGTTTCTCAAGTGATCTTTTAGTCTACTTAATGGTTCACTCCCTAAAGGGATAAATATGTTTTGGGCACATATTATCTAAATTTGAATGTGCCATGTTTTTGGTTTAACTAAAATATTATACTATTATGTCTCTTGTTTAAAGACAATACTTACCCAAAGTTCAGTGATTCCTTCAGTTTCCTTTTCCTCTAAAATTTCAACTAAAATAAATTAGATACTCTTTATTCGATGCATTGCTTTAAAGCCAGAACAGAAAAATAATTGTTTTTAAAAAGAATAATTCAGGTCAAGGAACTCCTGGGAGGTACTGGGATAAGAGAGTTGGAGGGAAGCTGACTGGCAACTTGTGTTCCTTTTTCTCAAGCAAGTTTCATTGTTTCTAGGTCCTCATTCTTTGTTTCCAGCTTCATGTCCTTGATTATTGCATCTAGGTTAAGGTCCTTGGACATGAGGTTCAGGTTCTTCATGCAATTCTGAACTCTCACATTGCTGGGATTAGCACACACATGTTGCCCCTTGGTGGTGAGGAAACTGGGGAGTATATGAGGGGAGATTTTGAGCTGTGTTCTGCAAATGGAGATAGTGTCCCATTCTTCCTGCCCCTCCACTTCCCCACTCAACACAGTCTGTTCTTTCCATTGTCTGCTGAAGGCAGTTCAAACTGATGCTCTGCCATCAATTGTCTTCTTTCTGTGTCTGGAAGAAATAAACAGTAGTGAGAGAAGTCCCTGTGAGGCAGCATTGTCTCAATGTCTCCACTCACCCCATTCCTCACCTCCAGCTGAACCGAGAGAGGGGCCCTGATGCTGAATCACCTACCTCCGGGCCCGATTTTTTTTTCCATTAGGACCCTGAGATTTTTCAGTGATCTTTTGAAAATGTTTGAGACATAAAAACATTCTATTGATTCTAAAATATAAAAACAAACTGCAGATCTATTGGGTTGTTGGTAAATCACGACATATTTTTTCTATGCAAAAATGTGTCATGACTTTTCCCACAACCCAATAACGTGGATGAGTTAATTAAATGTCTACAGAATGTGATGCAGTCCCTAATTCCTTCTACACATTTCTGGAATCCCCAGGATTTTGGAAACAGAAAGTTTTTCCTCAACTCATTTGGTAAAGTGAAGCTATTTATGGTTTATTTATCTCACTTATTATAAATGTTCATATATATTTGCTACAGAGATATTGCTGTATTTGATTGAAGTATGCCTCCCAGACCTCACTAGAGATTTAAGTAATGTTTCGGTACGTATTACCTTAAATTTTTTTTAATTTTGGTAAAAATTGTGGTAATTATGGTAAAAGTTGCCATTTAAACTGTTTTAAGTGTACGGTTCTATAGCATTAAATGCATTCAAATTACTGTACAACTATCACCACCATCCCTTTACAAAACTTGCTTTTTCTTACAAAACTGACACTCTGTGCCTGTTAAATAGTAACTCCATTTCCCCTGCCCTCAGCCCTGGGCAACGACCATTTCAGTTTCTGTCTTTAAGAATTTGACTACTCTAAGTACTTCAGATGAATGGAACCAACTATTTGTCCTTTTGTGACCAGGCCTTATCTCTCTGTGCATAATTTCCATGATATTCACTCATTTTGTGTCAGAAGTTCCTTCCTTTTTATGGCCAAATAATATCCCACTGTATGTATGTACCACAATTTGTTTATCCATTCATCCTTTGATGAAAACTTGAATGACTTCCAATATCATTTGGCTATTGTGAATAATGCGGTTATGAACATGGGTGTACAAAGATCCTTCCATGTGCTTGGTTTTAATCCTTTTGGGTATATACAAAGAAGGGGAATTCCTAGATCTATCATATTAATTCTTTAAACCCTGAAAAGTTCTGCATTCTAAAATTTATCTAGCCTAAAGATTTTGCAGAAGATATGGAGGACCTGCAATATTTGTTAATTAGACAAATGCAACTGAATTTTCAGCTTTTTTCTCCCTCTCTCTTTCCTTCTTTCTCTCCTTTCTCCCTTCTTTTCTTGTTCTTAATTAAAAAAAAATGTTAAGGTTTTTGTCATAAACCCTATGCACTGCCGCTGGAGAGAGACAGAGAGAGACAGTGAGAGGGAAAGTGAGAAATCACCCCCCGGGTGGATAGACATGGAGCAATCACTTCTCCTCCATTCTCTGCTCAGGACTTTGGGCATGAACGCACACACACCTGACATGATTCTCAAGTCACTGGGTTCGGACTCAAACTGTGGTCAGCCCTGTGGGAGTCCAGTACCTTAACCATGATGCCACCTCCTGGCCCTCCTTCCTTGTTCTTGAAATGAGTTTATTTCCACAATTGACTGTCACTGTATAAAGCTGGCTTTAAAGTTCATATTTACCTTTCACATGAAAATATAAATGAACAATTTTGGCAATAAAAATTTAGCTGCCAACTTAGGTCAACAACTGCTTCCAGTTTTGTTAGCTCACTTCTTATGTGGTTACATATGAATTCTATTTGATGAAGCGCTTGGGAGCACTATAATGTACTCCATGCGATATGGGTAAGCTTGTAAAGATTATTTTAAATGGCCTTATCTTCCCATAACTACTTCCTTACTAGTTGATATTCCAGTTCCATCAATGTTAGCAGTGTGATCTTGAACAAGTTTGCTAGTTTCTATGGCTCAGTTTTTGCATTTGTAAAATGAGAATAATATGCTACATTGTATCAAATTACTGGTGTTCTGAGTTTTTTTCCTTAAAAGTGGCAAATTTACATTGTTCAATCTAATACCTACTTCAAAGGGTTAGGAAGAATCGATGTGTTAATATCTATAAGACATTTGATATACTTTTTTTTGTTGCTCTGAGATGTATTACAAATTGTGATAAACTGTATTTACCTTTCTGTGTTTCATTTTCCCAACACAAAGTAATGGCAAATTGCTGAGATGATGGATATACTAATTACCTTGATTTAATCAATACATATTGAAGTTTTTCTTAGAGCAATTTTCATTTTAATCAGATTACTATTATTTTTTCTCACTATTTTTTTTGAATATTCAATCACTATACATTATTTGAATTGTAAAAAGAATTTTTATAACATGGGATACTTCTCAGACCAGTCCAGTTGAGAATACTATACACATTATCATTAACAGATAATAAGCCATTTCTGTGTCCCACAGATGTCATGCCTCTATTTGTTCTCATGCTATTCTTCTCTATACTCTTCCCTTCTCCCCCTACCCTGTTTCACACTGTCTTCAGTGTCCATAACTATTTTCACTGCTTTTATACCCTCCAATATTTCAATCTCTACCATAGAGTGCAGATAGTATATATTAAGTGGATACATACAATATCTTTCTTTCATAGCCTGGTTTGCTTCACTCAGCAATAAATCTTTCATATTCGACCACTTTCTATCAAATGCCAGGGTCTCGTTTTTTGTGG